TGACTCCCCATTCTCCTTTCCTTAGCCCTTAGTAATCTCTAATTTACTTTCTGTCTCTATTAACTTGCCTATTCTAGATATTTCATATAAATGGAATCATACGATGCTTGTCCTTTTGTAACTGGCTTCTTTCATTTGACATAAGGGCTTCCAGGTTAATCTATTCTGTTGCATGTATCAGAACGTTATCCTTTTTTATGCTTGAGTAATGCATGTACAAACCACATTTTATTTATCCATCCATCTGTTGACAGACACTTGTGTTGCTTCCACCTGTTGGCTATTGAGAATAATGCTGCAATGAACATTTGAATACATGGATCTACTTGAGTCTCTGTTTTCAGTTCTTTTGGGTATATATCTAAGAGTGGAATTGCTGGGTCATATGGTAATCCTATGTTTAGCTTATTAAGGAACTGCAAAACTGTTTTCCACAGTTTTCCACAGTGGCTGCAACATTTTACATTCCCACCAGCAACATAAAACTGTTCCAATTTCTCCACATTTCTCTCACCAACACCTGTGGTTTTGTTAAGTTATAGTCATCCTAGTAAGTGCAAAGTGGTGTCTCATTGTAGTTTTGATTTTCATTTCCCTAGTAATAATGTTGAACACTTTTTCATGTGCTTATTGCCCACTGTGTATCTTCTTTGGAGAAATGTCTACTCAAGTCTTTTGCCCATTTTAAAATTAGTTTGTCTTTTTGTTTTGAATTTTAGTAGTTTCTACATATTCTAGATATTACACCCATATTAGACATATTATTTGCAAATATTTTCTCAGTTTCTATAGGCTGTGTTTTCACTTTCTTAATAGTGTTCTTTGGTGCATTAAAATTTTAATTTTGATGAAGTCCAATTTATCTATTTTTGTTATTGCTCATGCTGTGGGTGTTATATCTAAGAATCCTTTTCCAAATCCAAGGTTATGAAGATTTGCCCTACATTTTCTTCTAAGAGTTTTATAGTTTCAGCTCTTATATTTAGGTTGTAGATCCATTATGAATTAATTTGTAAATGGTGTGAGATAGGGGTTCAACTTCATTATTTTGCATGTGGAAATCTAGTTATGCCACACCTTCTCCCCACACTCAATTTTAATTTAAATTAAATGGGGAAAATTTGCAACTTTCCAAAATTATTCCCAATATTGAGGATATTGAATATTTTGCTGAAAATATTTGATTAATTGACTTTTCCAATCTAAATTTCTGTGAAGTTAACTTTGCTTCTTAAGAGAAAGAAGAAAGTTATAGGATAATTGGTATATTTGAAACATTAAGAGGAACTCTTAAAAAATTGGAAGTGATGCTTGGCAACTTAAGAAAAGGGATAAATTAAAAACAAGGAGAGAACCTAAAATTACAATTATGAGATTATAAATAGTCTAGGCACTGTGGCTCACACCTGTAATCCCAGCACTTTGGGAGGCCAAGGCAGGCCGATCACTTGAGGCCAAGAGTTCAAGACCAGCCTGGTCAACATGGTGAAACCCCATCTCTACTGAAGACATGAAAATAAGCTGGGTGTGGTGGTGCTTGCCTGTAGTCCCAGTTACCTGGGAGGCTGAGGTGGGAGAATCGCTTGAATTTAGGAGGCAGAGGTTACAGTGAGTTGAGATCACGCCATTACACTCCAGCCTGGATGACAGAGCCAGACCCTGTCTCAAAAAACAAACAAAAAAAAAACAAAGTGAATTAACATTAGAGTATCACTTCCCCACCAGAAATGCCATTATCTTTCCATCAGCAAAAAAAATTTGAAAATAGGGGCTGGGCGCAGTGGCTCACACCTGTAATTCCAGCACTTTGGGAGGCCAAGACAGGCAGATCACAATGTCAGGAGTTCAAGACCAGCCTGGCCAATATGGTGAAACTGTGTCTCTACTAAAAATACAAAAATTAGCCAGGCATGGTGGTGGGTGCCTATAATCCCAGCTACTCAGGAGGCTGAGGCAGGAGAATCGCTTGAACTCAGGAGGCAGAGTTTGCAGTGAGCCAAGATCACACCACTGTACTCCAGACTGAATGATAAAGTGAGACTCCATCTCAAAAAAAAAAAAAAAAAATTGAAAATAGGATGGACATTTATCAAATCAAAGTCATAATCCTGACATTTGATGGTATCATCCTGATTCTATTCAAAGACCAGTCACTTTTTTTAATTGCCTTTCTTCAGCAACACAGTCTCTTACCTTCCTCCTACATCTAAAACACCCAACGAGGTACTTTCAAATGTTTTGTAACATTACATAAATATCCTCTTGAGTAATATGGACAAATGCCCAATGATACATGTCATGGGGAAACATAATATCTTCTTTTTTCCTTTCTAATCTTTGGGGATTTGTTTTAATAATTCATAAAGACATTAACCTTTCCGGCAGGCTTAAGAATGCTTTTTATTTAATACAATTTTGTTTGTGTCCTGAAAACCAAGGACATTGAAGTATTTATTTCCTGGTGAATAGGGCATTGTGTATATGTAGCTTTGTTTTCCCTGAAAATACCTTTTAGCCTTCATTTGTCTTCTCAGGGCTATAGCGTGTGGGCTTGCTCCATATGGCCTCCTCTGTAGGAGAACATGTATTGTGCTCCTGACGTGTGCGCTGTTGGAACAACATCTCAGTTTTCTTAACTCCCTGGTTCCCCTCACACCATCATTTCCATGATTTTCTTTTGGCTGAGTCTATGCAAAAAACAACAATATTAATTATTGCAATAAGAAACAGGACCTGAAAAGGCAAGGTTTTCACCTGAGAAATTATAAAGTAAATTAGTGGCAGGCCTGGAACTCTAGCCTACATCTACTGGTTACGGCAGAAAGTTAAAGCAGTGGCTCTCAACTAGGGTGATTTTGTCTTCTCTGTACAGGGAACATTTGGAAATATACGGAGACATTTTTGGTTGTCACAAGTGGTAGGGGAGGAGTTTTGCTACTGGTTTCTAGTGCTAGAGGCCAGAGACACTGCTAAACTTTCTACAATGCACAGGACAGCTGCTGAAACAAAGAATTCATCAACCCAAAATGTGTATAGTGCCAATGTTGAGAAGCCTTGCTGTCAGATAATGGAAATTAGACTTGAGTCCTGCTCTGCCTCTTACTTTTTGACCTTGAGAAAGTAGCTTCATTTCTGAGTCTGCCTTTTCATTTGAAAGAACAAAACTACCATCACCATAAGATAAAAAGACAAAAAACAAAAACCACCTTTCAGAGTGGTTTTGAGAGATCAACGCAAAATCACAGAACAGAGTTCTGAGCATATCATGGGCCCAACAAACAATGAATCAGGCCCATCCGATGGAGTTCAATGATAAGATGGAAGCAGGCAGTGCCAGAAAGAAAATGTCACTGAAATGAAAAATAAGGCTCTCCAGATTCTTATTAGCTTTTATTGGGAAAAGAGCAAGAGATGGGGAGAAGTTTAAGAGAATTAAATAGCATCAAGGATGTACTAGAAGGGGAGGGGAGGAGACGATGAGATTGGAAATAGTGAGAGAGTTTTAGGAGTGACAGAGATTTCAGCAATGACCTGGAGAAGGATTTGAGATATATTTAGGAAGAATCTGAAGAACTTTGTGGGCAATTAAAAAAGGGTCATGAGAGAGGAGTCTAGGAAAAATATGAGATTTCTGAGGAAAGCTTGGGTGTTGGTAATGCCATTCGATAAGAATGCAAAGGGCAAGGAAGAGAATAAATTCAGTTGTAGATGTATCCAGTTCAGAAATCTTGTGAGATATTTAGATGATGATCATGAGGCAGGAAGCTATGTAGGTTTAGGGAGAGTCAGGAAGCTGAAAGCAGAAGTCATCCATGGGGATGAGTGAGATTTTCTAGGGAGAGGATGAAGAGTAAGAAAAGAGCAAAGGACCAAAGGACGGAACTCTTAAGAGCTGTACAATAAAAATGAAGATGAAAGAATCAGGAGGAGTGAAACAAGAAGAGAGGGTAGAGTGGTATAGAACACAAGTGCAGGCAACAGTGTCAAATGTCACTGGAAAATTACATAAAATCCAAGTGTCCAGAAGATTTGGCAGCTGCATGATAGTGCTAACTTTCGCATAAACGTTAAGTATGATGATGAGCAGAAAAACTAGACTCAATGAGTTGAGGAGGAAATAACAGTTGAGGAAGTAGAAATGAGGGATAAAGGAAGAAAGACTGTCACCAAGATAAGCTATGGAGATTCTCCCTCTACCCCACCAAAACTGGACAACAGTTAAGCATATTTCTATGCTCAGAAGAAGGAGACAGGGGTATTGAAGACCACAGAATACAAAACAGGGAAACTGATAGATCAAGAATGGGATGTAGAGTTTGAATAATTATTGAGGCAAGAAGAGGGGGAGACTCTCTTCCAAACTGGGTAAAGAAAGTAAACTGGGTGTGAATATGTCAGTCTGGAGCGTGAGGGAGCAGAGTTTAAGTAAGTTTATATTGGACAGCTTCACTTTTCATTATCAAATTGGTGGCAAGCTGAGCTGCTGATATGGGATATGGGAACAAAGAGGAAGTAGGGGCAGGGAATAAACCTTAAGGCTTGGGAGGGGCTTTAACAAATTAGAGAAAATGAGTAGAGATTACAGCTTCAACAATCTGGCATGTGAAGGACATGTCAAGATACCAGGATCACCTTGATTTTCATATCTAATCCTCTCCATTTCAGTAACATGACCCAACCATCTTTAGAGAGAAGCAATTAACTAGAAAGATTTTGCCAACCACAGATTGTTTGAAAATGGGGTAGTGGGTGGAGGGTGGATAGATGACCAACCAAATCTCAAATTAAAGTGGACACGGGATTAATTATGTCCATGGACCAGTTGTATCATCTCCTTATATGTAAGAGAGCATATCCTTTGGGATTCTTAGAGAGCCCTAAACTATCAGAGTTGTTATAATGTAGAAGTTGTAATTTATCTTACATAATCCTTCAAATAGAAATGATCTGTAGAATAGAAATAAATGAATCCTGATGAAATGGTTTTATTTTGCAGTCTTGCCTTCTTTTGAGCCTAAGTCATGAGTTGGATGTTCCTCAGAGACCTCCTGAGTGGAGTAAATAAATACTCCACTGGGAATGGACAAATTTGGCTGGCTGTCGTGTTTGTCTTCTGTTTGCTGGTCTACATGGTGGCAGCAGAGCATGTGTGGAAAGATGAGCAGAAAGAGTTTGAGTGCAACAGTAGACAGCCTGGTTGTGAAAATGTGTGTTTTGACAACTTCTTCCCCATTTCCCAAGTCAGACTTTGGGCCTTACAACTGATCATGGTCTCCACACCTTCCCTTCTGGTGGTTTTACATGTAGCCTATCGTGAGGGTAGAGAGAAAAGGCACAGAAAGAAACTCTATGTCAGCCCAGGTACAATGCATAGGGGCCTATGGTACACTTATCTTATCAGCCTCATTGTTAAAACTGGTTTTGAAATTGGCTTCCTTGTTTTATTTTATAATGTGTATGATGGTTTTAGTGTTCCCTACCTTATGAAGTGTGATCTGAAGCCTTGTCCCAACACTGTGGACTGCTTCATCTCCAAACCCACAGAGAAGATGATCTTTGTCCTTTTGTTGGTCATCACCTCATGCTTGTGTATTGCCTTGAATTTCACTGAACTGAGCTTTTTGGTTTTCAAGTGCTTTATTAAATGCTGTCTCCAAAAACATTCAAAAAAATTCAAGTCCTCAGTGTGTGAATGCCATGGCCTCAGATATGTTCAATGTGGTGGGAGAGGGGCCCCTCCCTACTTCAGAATCATCATTCATGCTTGGCCATAAACACACTCCCACTACCTGGAGCAAAGCTACTTGGTGACACACAACAGGGTTAAACAAAGAAGACCTGCACCCCTACTCAGCAAGGCCTAAGCTGAGTTGGAAGACAAAGCATGCCAGCCTTAGTGTCATTTGGAAGGATTTTTTTATACATGGTCAAATGCTGTCAGTTGTGAGCACTAGACTGAGGTGTCATTGTTTTGTTGTAGGGTTCTCCAGTATGTAGATAACATGAGTTGTTGTAGAAAAGTTAGTTGCAAATTAGTATGGAGAAATCTAACAGGATTCTTTTAAGAGCTTAGATTTCTTAGGAACAAAAAAAAAAAAAAGAAAAAAAGAAAAAAACCCTGTGTCAATTTTCTGTTTTTTTCTGTCTCATTACAATTTGTGCACAATGAACCAGAAAATATAAAAAGTGATACTTCAGACAAATGTGATGGCCTCCAAGCTGAAATGAAGGAATAGGCAATCTTTCCAAAGTGGCAGCCCAGGCCCCACTCCCTGTCCTACTCAATCTCTGTAAGAAGAAACTGTGGGATGGGGTAGCAGCCAGCTGGCAGCACACAGAGGCACATTCAACAGAAAGACCCTACTTGGGGAAAAGGCCACAGAGCCCAGGCCTCTTGTCAGTTCAGGGATCCTTGGATACAAGTGGACTAGGGCAAAGGAAAGAAAGCTGTCATTTCGGTCGTCTCCAAATTAGATACAAACATTACTGGGAGGTATCCCACGTAAGCCTGAACCAGTAGACATCCAAAAGGGGCACTCTAGAGTCAGAGGGGAAGACAGGTGCCCCAGAAGGCAACACATTGATAGGGACTGGAGGCCACAGAAAAAGAACATACCCATTCGATAATTACTCTTCTATTTAACCAAAAAACATTGAAATACTTTGTAAATATTCATACTGTTGAAACTTTCATAATCAGGAATTCACTATGTACTATATAGTATGTCACAGTTTGCCTAGAATTTACTAGTATATCTCCTCTAGGACAGATAGTAAAATGTGTACTATGTTACAGTGATGCAAAAATGTTTAAAAAGTTCATCACTTGTTTTGAAGACTAGAACTTTCTTTACTTTTCTATATTTGTCTAGAAATTCAGATACATTCCCTCTGGATTTAATACACTAACAGATGTACATTTCTCCAGAATAAAAATAAAGGTATTTTGCAATGCTCTTTGGCTGTCATTGGTATCTTTGCTAGACTGCAGTGGGTTTGATTATTCTGTGAAATAAAACATGTTCTGACAACTTAGAACAGGATTGGCAACACTACTTGGTAAAGATAGCTCAGAAATAATTATTCTCCCTTGGGAATTTAACGGAAAATCAGGGCATAAAAATGTAATTTTAACTGAAAACCAATTATGTTGTATCTTCCATGATGACTTGCCCTCTTTAGAATATAATCTCATTCTGTAATCCCAGCTACTCAGGAGGCTGAGGCAGGAGAATTGCCTGAACCCAGGAGGCAGAGGTTGCGGTGAGCCGAGATCGTGCCATTGCACTCCAGCCTGGGTAACAAGAGCGAAACTCCGTCTCAAAAAGAAAAAAAAAAAAAAAAAAAAGAATATAATCTAATTACAAGTCATGCACAGTGAAGATTATCTGGGTCATTACGTGGTCTACAGACTAACCACCAGCAATGGTCATTATCTCTATCTTAAGGACTGTGTTCTACGTAACAGAGAGAAAGGTGAAATTTGTGGTTTACCCCTTTCTTCAATTTATACCACAGTTCTCTGCTGGACTTGAGCTTACCACCATGCACTTATCATTTAACGTGAAAACATCTAGCCTGCATGAATGCAGGTAACCATGAATTTTGTGTATGTGTGACAATGATAGGTGGTTAAAGAGATTTAAGGTTTTTGAGACCCTGATCATGGCACAGAATCTAGAAAACAGGGTTTCAGAATGCAGAACTGGAATGGAAACAAGGGACTTTTTCAGTCTGAGGATGAGTTTGATGTCAAAGATGTTTTGGTGGAGTTCAGCCTTTTCACATCAGTTATGACAAGTTCTGCCTAAGTAAAAAAGTTCAACTACTTGGTCATATATTCTTTGCATTTCCACTTTGTATAGAAAAGAAACTGAAAGGTAATGTGAGCAAGGGCAATGGCATTGAAAATGTTTAAATAGGAAGGTGAGTGATTTTCATTCCTTGAGTCTTGTTAGTAGTACTTTAATTTACAAAGTGAGTTTTCTATGAGAACATTCTGATGGCTTTCTTGGGGTCAGTGAGGACCCAAAGTATTTGATTGAGAGAAATTGGCAGTTAATTTGTACCATATTGTTTTTCTTGTCGGTAAATTAATATTTATTGAGTACCTGGGAGCAAGACACTGTGCTATGTATCTCCCAAGATTTAATGCATAATTCCTGCTCAAGAAAATGTCCACTTTTATAAGGCTCACAGAGGGTGGAATATCTTACTCCTGGGCCCTGGTCTCACTGGCCCACCTCAACTGCTCCACCCCAAAATGTTCTGGTGCCCACAGAGCAGAGAGTAATCTAGGAAATGAGGAAAAGCAGTCACTTTTCTTTAGGGACATGCAAGTAGTAAAGGCAGACTGAGCAATCAACCATAGGTCTTCCCAGATCACTAAACAGAGGTCTCCCTAATTTCACGTAAGCCACTCCCAACTTGCAGTGATTATTCTGATTGCTCCACACTTGTCCCATATTCTTTCTAGTGAGAGACCTTGCTCCTGGCCACAGGAGTTCTCATTAGAGCCGGCAGGAAATGTTTTCAAGCACTTGTACAAAAGAATGTCCAGAGCTCTAGGTGGCTGTGTTTCCAGTCTTGCCAATGGAAGGAAACCAATCTAGAAAAAGACTATGAAGATGAGATAGGAGGGGAAAAGACAAAGAATTGAGGATGTTTGAACTCCTCGTTCCCATTGTCCCTGAGGCTGGCTCTACCCCTAACCTTTCTATGGTTTGTTACATCAAAGATAAATTCCTTTTTGCTTAAGCTGGTTCAAGTTGGATTTTTGTGTCTTGTAACTGAGAGTCCCAATAAACCCACCTTCTTCATAAATTTCTTTCCTGAGACCAGCCTGGCTAACATGGTGAAACCCCACAAAAAAAAAAAAATTCTTTCCTATATACAATAAAATTTTAATCATTTAAAAGGTTATAGTGCCCTCTTATTCTAGCTCATATCCCATCACATACATGTAACACTTTTCTTAAATATGGAGGCCAATTTATTCTTAGTTTTAATTTTGTTTGTATATTTAGTATTGCATAAAACATAAAAGTGAGGAGCACTTGACAGCTCTTTAAAAAGCTGATTAGAGACAGTGCAGTGGCTCATGCTTGTGTTTCTAGCACTTTGGGAGGCCAAGGCAGGAGGATCCTTGAGCTCAGGAATTCAAACTTGAAGTGGGCTATGATCACACCACTGCATCCAGTCTGGGTGACAGAGATGAAGTCTTTTTTTTTTTTTTTTTGAGACAGAGTCTCGCTCTGTCCCCGAGTTGAGTGCAGTGGCACGCGATCTTGGCTCACTGCAACCTCTGCCTCCCAGGTTCAAGCAATTCTCCTGCCTCAGCCTCCCGAGTAGCTGGGATTATAGGCGCATACCACCACACCTGGCTAATTTTTGTATTTTTAGTAGAGATGAGGTTTTGCCATGTTGGCTATGCTGGTCTCAACTCCTGACCTCAGGTGATTTACTTGCCTCAGCTTCCCAAAGTGCTGGGATTACAGGCCTGAGCCATCATGCCTGGCCAAGAATCTGAGATAAAAAACAAAACAAAAAAATTGATGAGAAAGGAAGAAGCAGTGGTGGAGCACAGAGAGATAAAAGAAGTCAGAATTCAGTTGAAGTTTTATGACAAAAGTCCAAGAAAGATGCTTTAGGAAGATCTGCCAGAAGCACTTTATCTAATATCAAATTGGGCCTTTTTTTTTCACAAAGCAAATCTTCCTTTGGCTATAAAAGATATTGGGGATTGTGAGGAGCTCTGAGTATTTTCTGCAGACCCATCTTGTTTCCACAAACAACTTTCTGAGATGCTTAGCTTTTAAAAATACTATAATTTACCCAAATATTGTTTGAGAGCAAAGTAAAATTAGTTCTGGATGTTACTGACATAGGTCAATATTCCCATCTATTTAAAGGTGAAATACCAAATTCTTCCCCAGCTACAAAGAATTTTTAATTTTTTTCTATTAAAAAGGAAAAATGTTCAGAGAAAAGTAATATGTAATTTCTGTTAATACTTTTTTTAATCTTAAAAAACTTCAGACATTAATGCCTCCTGTCAGAGTAGAGAATGGCTGTTGTGTAGAATTGGGGATGAATCAATCATAGGACATTGAAAAAGAGGCCTCGATTCCTCTTTTTTAAGAAAAGGTCACTATTAAACTCTGTGCTGTGGATTGGGGCCAGGGCAGACAAATATTAAGCAATTCAACTGCCACATCCTTGCCATAAAAATGTTAATTAAATAGATGGTCAGTAATCCCGTGACTAAAAGAGTTATTAATCACTAGGTTAGCCAAGAGTTTTCATTTATATTTATCTCAAAGAAAAGTGCAGTTGAGATTTGACTTTCTGTTGAAGATAAGCAAACCCAATATACCTATCCTTTTAGAGAAGATTGCTCCTAATTACATTGATACTAAAAATTAATGCTGTGACTATGGTAAAGGACTTTGTCTTATTCATCTCTTTATATCCCTGTATCCCCACAGCTTAGGTCCCTGTACTTAGGAGCTCAAAGTTTATTGGAAAAAAACGTGTTCCTCTTGCCCCTCCACTTAATCCTGATTTTGTTGGGAATGTCAGTGTGCCCAGCTAAAAAGGTATATTTTGAAGTTTCCTCTGTGTGTGGAAGTAGCTGTCTATCTTCTTGTGAAGGCATCAAGATGCTTTGGGAAAAGTTACTTTAAAAGTGTGCTGACCTAGTTTGCATGCATTTTTTTTCAGCCCCACCCCTTCCTGCCTGAAATATCATAGTTTAATATTGCCAGGAATAACTTTCTGCCATGAGGTGACTTTGAGGATGTAAGAGACCTTCTGAAGAAGATAGGCAGACTTCCAGGACACAGATGCCATTATGAAATTGCCTTATCAGCCTTGAACTGCCTGCTTGTTGTTATGTAGGAGACAACTTACCTTCTACCTGATGTAAGTCACTGACTTGTAAATTTCTTTTATTTACTGCTCCAAACAGTTTCAGAGTCATTCACATTAGTGACTAAGATGAAGACACAGAAGGCATGCCTATAGCAACTGAGGACAAAAGAAATGAGTAGTATGTTGAAGGGCGGAATTGAAACATTTAAAAAATCTCAGAACAGAATTTTGTTCAGAATAAGTCAGGTGAAATAGAACAAGTAATCATTCTGCACCAAGATTTAAGAGTTTGAGACCAAGATGATATTAGTCCATGACATAAATTTCTTGGAATTTTAGCTGTCCACCACCTTAACATGAGTAAAGTGTAGCAAGAGACTATTTTTTTTTAAAGTTCATTTACACCTGTATTAGCAAAGGTTTGTGTCCACACTATAATGAGTTATTTTCCCGGTGCTTCAAAGACAAATAGCTTATTTTGTGTTTCAAAGTTGCAGAACCAGGAACAATGGCTGAAAATAAGAGATAAAGATTCTTTTGACCGAATACTGGAAAGTTTTATTAATTTGAACTGCCTCAATGAAATGGTTGCCCAGTAAAGTGGTGAGATTCCCTAACACTGAAAAAGATGTTCAATAATGTTCCTGGATTATATAGAAGCTATAGCTAGATGACCTCCAAAAATTTTTCAAACTCTTCAAGATCCTATGCTTCTAGTACCTAAATATTGGGCAATGGCAAAATAAGACTTTGTATTGGCTGTATCACTATATAAATCTGAGTCCACAGAAAGATCTCTGATGAACAGAATCATCTTTAAAAATGAATTTCAGGCCGGGCGCAGTGGCTTACGCCTGTAATCCCAGCACTTTGGGTGGCTGAGGCGGGTGGATCACTTAAGGTCAGGAGTTTGAGACCAGCCTGGCCAACAGTGAAACCCTGTCTCTATTTAAAAAAAAAAAAAAAAAAAAAAAAAAAACCACAGCAAATTTTATGTATAATGACAGGACAGCTCATTACAATAGACAATGTAGGTAGTTCCAAAAACTGGTTCTAACAGGATTTATCTTCTTTAAAATTATAG